GATATAATTGACTGAATACATCAAAATGGATTTCTATTCGGACAACCCTTTCTGAGCGCTGATTGGCTAAAATACGAACACGAGATCACCTGGATGTCTTCAGGAGAGTGACAAATTTTACAGTAAAGAGATCTGGTTAGTTCCGACCCAAAATCGATGAAATTACAACAACAATATTCGAATCAAAATGGAACGAAATTTTATTTTTATTCAAGCTTCTTTGACAGCTTTGTGCGCTAGACAATATCAATTGATGCTTCCACCAGTGCTTCCACTTTCAAATTTGGAATTTCCTTCTGTGAAAGCAGAAATTGAACAAAAATTCCACAAACAGCATGCGCATGTTTAAATTTCCATAAAATTTCCATGAAAGAAATTATTTACTACCACTAAAGCAATAAAATTGTTCTCTTCCTTTTTAAATACTGTACGTGTCAATATTTTATCGCGAAGTGAGAGAAATCCACGAACGCAAATTGTCATTGCTATATCCCAAAACGTCCCGTTATATCCATATATATAATATTTGATTTATATCTACCATTATACCAGAAAAAATAGGGAAAATATACGTTAATTTAGTATTCAGTGGTATGAATGTTGAAATGCCATAAATTTTTCATACATCAAAATTTCCATGAAATATGGAAATTTACATCAAAGTGAAAACACTGGCTTCCACTTTCATGGAAATTTCTATATTTTATGGAAATTTTGAAGTGAAATCAAACTTTTTAAACTTTTTGTGGAACTGTGATAATGATAGGAATTCTATGGAAATTTCAGTGTGCAGAAAATATTGCAAATTGTACTAAAATATGCGTTAAAAGTCCAATTTTCAATGAAGAGTTACATATAATTTATGGAATTTTATTAATTTTATAGAATTTTTTTGCTGTAAATTGAAAATTTTAATGTAGAAGCACTTGGTGTGGTTTGGGCGTGGTCGTGGCTTAACTCGAAGGGCGGGGCTTAACTCGAAGATTATTTACCTCTGTTCACACTTGTCAACTTGACCCTGAATCGCGGGTGTAAGTTGTGTAACACAATGTTATTGACAATCAACCCATTTTGCAACAATATTGCAACAACCTGATTGTTTTTAGCTAGTCTGATCAGTACTCATTTCCAACCACCATACAGACATACGTCTTGTCGGAAGATGGAAGAATTTCTGGGATCGTTATGTGCAAATTTGTTTTCCTATTCCATCACCATGTACCATATTTTTGCCACTCTCTCTTTTGGAGCATTTTTTTTTAAATAGCTTAGACTATTTAGATTCTTTACTAATAGTTAAAGGGGCCCTACAGTCATTTTTTAGTTGAAAAGCCACCTTCAGTAGGGGACTCCACAGAGGTGCAGTTACATGCAGTATCCATGAGTACGAGTACTTCCGCACACCGGAAGACGCATGCATGCCGTGGTGCGCATATCAAGTACCGACATTAACAAAAAATGACGTTGAGTTTTCTAGCTTCATGCATTGCTTTTAATAATACATATTGCTATGAGGTATAACATTTGGTTCAGGGCCTCTTTTAAGGATGCATATATATATATTTATAATTCATAAGCTTAATGGCAAATCATGTCAACCATAATATGTCACGTGCAGTGGCTTTAAACCTGATAAAACACTCCTAATTAGTATTCTTTATATAACGAATACTAATCTGGCAGTATCTATTGTAGTAGTGTCCTCAGTAGTAATTTTTATATAAAGAATACTAATAAGGCAGTATATCTATTGAACTTTGTAGTCGTATTTGAAGCCGTTTAATAAACTCGCATGCAGGTAGTGTTTTATTAGGTCTAAAGCCACTCTCGCTGCGCGCTCGTGTCTTTAAACCTAATAAAACACTCCTGCTCGTTTATTATATATATACAGGGTGTATCAAAATAAACGCAATTCATCTTTTGTGCTTAATAACTTTCGAAATACTATTTTTAGTTAAACGCTTTTAATTTAGGCTTACTTCAAAGCCTGTTCTTTTCTCTTTCAAACAAACTATTATCCTTGTCTCCAATGCTATTAATAATTGCACAGGAAAAGATTTAGTAAAACCTATCATTTTTAGTTGCTGTTTAATTATGCAAGTTTACTATGTTATTGTTTAATCGGTTTAAATGTTAGAATTTTCTTCTTTAAACTTTAATGTTGTCGTCACTACATCTGGAAAACCACGTAAGAACAAATTAAAAGTATTTTAAAAGAGGCTAGGTTGTTTGAAAATCCTACACGAATGCTAAAAATTATAGAATCAAAACATTTTGGTGTCTGAGCCAGTGTCATCGAATTGCGATGTAATGTAAACAGAAATTATAGCAAGATGATGTCAGTCAGCTTAGATGGTCCAAGCCAAAATTATATCGCATTTGAAGTTTCAAACTGTGTTAAAAATAGTGGAAGAAAAGCCGTAATTATACTTATTGTTACAATCCATTTAATAAAATGCAGCATTTTTTTGTTTTAATGAAAAAATCAGTTATTTTCATGAGAACGATTTGTTATTCCATCTCAATTTTTTTAATCTCCAATCGCAATAACGTAAAGTATTATTACCCGCGAACCAATGAGTCAAATTTAAGAAACAACCTACTGTTAGAAAGCTGAATGGCTACGCTTTAAAATGAATGTAAACTTTAAAATGAATGTTTAACTTTTTAAATTTTTTTAAATTTTTTAAAAATCTAACTTTTTAAACTTTTCTTGCTTTTCAAAACTCTTTTAAAACTTTTTAGAACTTTTTTAAAAACTATTTTCTTAAAAAAACCGGAAGCTTGAGTGAGCTATTTCCAGCATTGTAAGGAGTTTTCCAACAAGAAACTAACCTTATAAACAGAGACACAATTACTGCACTAGTTCACAGTCTCCAAAATTTAACCCAGCTAGTCCCAATAAGGCAACATGGTGTGATAATGCGGCAATGAAAATGTGCGTGGTATAGTATTATTCACCACACTTCAAATCCTACAAATTCCTGAAAATCAAACCAGTTGATCTTCTGCGGACTGGTCAACTCGATCCCTGCAACCATGCTGTTTTACAACATTTCCCCCCCACCAAATTAATACTGGGGCAGGATATTCCAGCCCCCCCCCCACCCCCAATTTGTTAGTGTAGGGTTTTTTGTTGTTGTTGAGAATAGCCTTGCAGGGAATTTTTTTCAAAATCACCCACTCACCCCCTCAAAAGTTAAATGGTCGGCCCCTAAATAGCCATGTAACCATTTTACCTACCACTTTAACTCTAACACGGCAACGGCTAAGCCTAACCAAATGAATCAAGAAAATCCGAAAAAAATCTACTTTAAAAATTGAGAAAATGACGGTCAGTTTGATGGTAGGAAACAAGTGACAAGTTTAAACCGTGGCAACTAATACCACAAAGAGGTTTCCAGATAAAAGTTTCTATAAACCCCATTTCAAAGCCCTTTTTCAGGTCAAATCCCAGTCCCGTTGTGAAATTTAAAGAAATCCCAGAGCATCTATATGACTTTTAAACACGATTCTACGTTTTAGGTATACGAAAACGGTATATAACCTACTTAGCTACAAGAGCAGAAAAATGACTTCATTGAGCCACAAGTCAAGTTAACTTTCTTAGACAAATTTTCTGTCGAAAATTGCTCAGTAGCTGTTCTGGACTTATAGTTTTCTATCTATCTAGTGTTTTCACGTACATTTCTGTGTCTTTCAATTTCAAAGAAATCAACTTTAAAATACTATAGTCCAATATGCTCATTTTTACATGTCAATCAAACTAAACAGGAATCAATGTCCTATAGACATGATCTCTGTAGACAGTTTGTGTCATGCATCAGTGTTTTTGGACGTCAGTTTTGACACCCAGTGATGTGTTGAATACTTTAGACTACTCTGTTTACCATTTTAATTATTCAACTTTATTTTCTTCCGTTATTGCATCCAATTATAATTTAATGACATACATCAATATCAATTCGAATCGAGTATCAGTTCTCAACTCTTCAACACAACAAACGCCAACACTAGTTAAGCCGGTTACAGTTTTTATATGACAAGTTTTATTTGTCAAGTGCATGTGCGTAAATGCAACAAATTTTATATGACAAGTTTTCATATCACATTTTCAAGTTTTATTTACTGGTGTGAACGTGTCAACAAGATTATAATTTGAAAGTTTTCTTTGCTGACCCATACAGACGAACAAAATTTGTACTACAAGTGCACTTGTCGTAGAAAAATTGTCAAAGTTGCACATACAGACGAGCAAATAAAACTTGTTACTTAAAAACTTGTCATAGGAAACTTGCTCGTCTTTAACCGGCTTAAGAAATATATATAACTAGTCTGATACAAATGCCAATGTATATTTCATATAAAACTAAACTGGAATCTGTCATATGCATAAACTTGCTGCATACTCAAAGCCGGCAACAATATTCAGATTGAGTCATGGGTGGCCATGTGATCTTCAAGATCTCTGGGAACATCAAACACGACATTGCACACACAACAAACATATCCAACACCAGTTGGTTCTTTTGATTTAAGTTCTTGACATAAACCCCATTCATTTGATAGTTTCCATCATTGCCATGATGTCTCACTATATGTCGAACCAATGTCATAAAATTTGAGAATCGTTTGTCACATTTGTTACAAGCATATTTTCCAATACTTTTATCCTGAACAAAGTGTCCTTGAAAATCTTGTGGTTCAATAATCTCTTTGTGGCAACTATTGCAAAACAAATGCTCCTTTTTGTGCCTTCTTAATTGCATAAATCTCTTCTTGCAAACATCACATTCATAACGATTGTCTCAAGTATTAATATGTCTTCTCTTATGTACAGCTAAATTACTTGATTGTGAAAATTTCTTCTTACAAACATCACATTCATAAGGCTTGTCTCCAGTATGTGTTCTCTTGTGTATTACCAAATGATTTGTTACTTTAAATCTCTTCTTACAAACATCACATTCATAAGGCTTGTCTCCAGTATGTGTTCTCTTAATGTGTTTTACCAAATAATTTGATACTTTAAATCTCTTCTTACAAACGTCACATTCATAAGGATTGTCTCCAGTGTGCGTTCGTGTATGCATAGTTAAACTACTTGAATGTCTAAATCTCTTCTTACAAACTTCACATTCATAAGGGTTGTCTCCAGTGTGTATTCGTTGATGTGATGCTAAAGTACTTGATTGGCTAAATTTCCCCTTACAAACATCACATTCATATGGTCTTTCTCCAGTGTGTGTTCTTTTATGTGATACCAAATGATCTGATCTTTTAAATCTCTTCTTACAAACATCACATTCATAAGGTTTGTCTCCAGTGTGTGTGCGTTGATGCGTTGCTAAATTACCTGATTGTGCAAATTTCTTCTTACAAACATCGCATTCATAAGGTTTATCCCCAGAGTGTGTCCTCTTATGTACAGCTAAGTGATCTGATTTGTTATATCTCTTCTCACAAAGATCACATTCAAAAGGTTTCTTTCTATTTTTTGTTCCTCTTTGCTCACAACGATCGGACATTTTTATTAATAAAATTATTATCAAAACTATATATAGAAATCGCGTTAACGTTCTTTATCGTAAAGAGAGTGACAAATTTTAAAGTAAAGAAATCTGGTTAGTTCAAAACCGAAATCGATGAAATTTATAGTATAACAACATTCGAATAAAAAATATGGAACGCATTTTATTTTTATTTTAGGCCGGTTGTGCGCTAGATGATATCAATTGATGCTTCCACCAGTGCTTCCTCTTGGAATTTCCATCTGGGAAAGCAGAAATTTCCATAAATTGAAAAACAAATTGAAGAAAAATTCCACAAACAGCATGTTTAATTCTCTATCTTTTTAAATATGTACGTCTCAATATTTTGGCGCGAAATGAGGGAAATCCGCGAATGCAAATTGCCATTGCTATCCCAAAATGTCCCTTTATATCCATTTAAAAATCTGGGGGCCAGAAGAGACAGAAGAAGCTGAGTGAGTTGGTAAATTGGTCATTAGCAGAGGTCATGAGTAGAGAGAGCATAGAATATTGGATATTTTGATTTATTTCTACCATTATATTCTGATATTCAGTGGTGTAATTGTTGAAATTTTTCATACATCAAAATTTCCATGAAATATGGAAATTTCCGTCAAAGTGGAAACCAAACTCTGGCTTCCACTTTCATGGAAATTTCCATATTTTACGGAAATTTTGAAGTGAAATGGACCTTTTTAAACTTTTTGTGGAACTGAGATAATGATAGGAATTCTATGGAAATTTCTGTGTGCAGAAAATATTGCAAATTGTACTAAAATATGCGCTAAAAGTCCAATTTTTAATCACGAGTTACATATTTCCATAAATTTGGAATTTTTTGCTGTAATTTGAAAATTTTAATGTGGAAGCACTTGGCGTACAGTGGGACAAATGCGCTTATCACTGGTACTGCGGGTGCTTATATTGATATATACCCGCGCGTAAAAATTTTATGAGCCCGCTGACAGGGTTGAACCTTCGAGTTGAGCCCTTCACGAGTTAAGCCCTGGCTACGCCCAAACCACATCCATTTTCATCAAGGGCTAAACTCAAAGAAAGAAACACAACTTGGAAAGTTTGAGTTACTGTCGATGCAATGGAAGTGTTGATAAAATATTGCACCAATATATTCCTTTCCTCAAGTTGATCAATTCATTTGATAGAAAATTGATCAACTTCCTGTTACTTTTAAATGATTAGATTTCGTTTCAGAACCGATTGACCAATAGGCAGGGCCGCCGAGAGGTTGGCGGGGGCCCGGGGCAAATGTTTTTTTGGGGGGCCCCAAATCTAAAAAAATTTTCCGGACAACAACCTCCCCCCCCGTCGCCAAAAAATTTTCGGTCAGTGTAACATTTTAGGGGTAAAAAATTTTTTCCGCAGTAAATAAATTTTTCCGGACTAGTACGTTGCAATTGCTTTCCAGTGACTTTGTCTCATTTTTTTATGCCAAATTTCGGTACTTAGCCCAAGAAAACAGATATCTTGTCCTTTGCGCGGAAATATTTAAGAAATTTGAATTCGTATGTATTGATCAACTTGAGGAAATGAATTCATGCAATATTTTATCAACACTTCCATTGCATCGACAGTAAGACCCGTGAAAAAAGAGGGTCTTAATTAACTCGAAGTCATTGAAAATGTTCGAAGCTCGAGTTAAGCCCCGCCATTTGAAGCATGTGAAAGAGCAATGATTTGAGTCGTCCATGATCTAGCTGGACATAGTTATCATACTTCTGGGCTTAAGTAAGCTGCAGCATAAATTATTCACGAACAACTCGTATAAACAGCCAATTTTCATTAAGGGAGTGGTCATTATATATGGGGTGGTAGGGGGTGGATGATTTAGGGAGGGGTTATAAAATTTTGAAAGTTGCTGAAGCCTTCTTGATTATTGACTTGAAACCAGCGGGCAAAATGTCGTTTATTCAACGTTGAATCAACGTTGGAAATGACCTTCCAGACGTTGGATAGACGTTGAAAAAGGATTGATAATGCAAATTGGATCGACGTTACTGTTTCGACGTTGAAACAACGTTGAAATTAATTGCCAATCTCGTCAACCATAATTCAACGTTGAATCAACGTTAAAACAACGTTGAGATTACTTCACAAATCGACGTCGTACATTTAACCATGAATGAACGTTGATTCAACGTCTGCTGGCTGCTGTTGAACCAATGTTTTTAAACGTCAGAGCAACGTAGATATTAGGTTGTCGACGTCGCAACCTTTTTTCTACCAAATTTCAACGTTGAAACAACGTCGTGTGCCCGGTGGGAAGGAGGAAGGGTTACTAGAAAAATAGTCTTAACTTAAAGCAATTTGATAAATAATCAAAAACAAAACAGAATAATTAATGGCCAAACATAATTCTTGATTGGCTCGCCAGAATCAGAAACGGTATGTAAAGTGACCACAAATAATTTCCAAATATCGTATAATAATCAGTTTTAGTAGTTAGTAGTAGTAATTTTCGATCTAAAAGTATAAATACAAGAATTATCTACTGAATAAAGTAAATTAGTAATAATAAACAACATGAACTTACTTCTTTGGCCTATATCACTTTACAATACACCAAATATAAACCTATTTCTGAACGTTAAACCTCGAGTAAACAGATTAAAACCAACGTGTTTATTTCCCGCTCTTTTCTGTCACGTGACTTTGTCTGTTCAATGACGTAATTATTTATCTATTTTTAACTTAGCGAAACATCCTCCACCCCAATGAGGACATTGTTCTCATTCTATTCTCCGTCCACGGGGTGTATTACTGAGATTTTAGTAATAGGTCTTAGGTAATTACCATTTTGTGTTTTTACTGTTACATTTCGAACTTTTCCATCTTTACCTGGATGAACTTCAATGATTCTTCCGATCGTCCAATTGCCTCGTACCGCATTCGAATCAACTAACATGACAATATCGTTGACTTTGACATCGCGTCGTTGAACATCCCATTTCTTTCGTGAAACTAAACAGGGGAAGACGTCTCTGGTCCATCGTTTTCAAAACGAGTCAAGAATCTGTTGTAGAAATTCAACTCTATGACGCGGGTTCTTTGTCTTCAGGAATGGTCCTTGTGGAACATGCGAGGAAGCTCTTCCTAATAAAAGGTCATTCGGACATAGGTATGTACCATCATCGGGGTCGTTGATTGGTCTACCAATTGGTCGTTGGTTTACCAGATTTGCTACTTCAAGCAGTACGGTGTGCAATTCAAATGGTGTGAGAAGGTTATCTCCCATGGCTTGTTGAAGGGCTAATTTACAACTTTTTACTAACGATTCGGCACATCCGTTTTGATGTGGGGCATTAGGAGTAATGAATTTCCACTCCATTCTTTTATCTGCTGCATACTCCTTGAGTTTCTTCACATCCCAACCTTGGATCATCTTTGCTAGTTCGCTCTCTGCGCCAGTTGTGTTCCATTATCGCTCAACATTAATGAAGGGTAACCTCTAATCGCGAAGAATCTTCGGAGTACTTGGATGAATTCCATTGTTGAACAGTCTGTTGCAAGTTCCAAATGAACTGCCCGAGTGTTCAGACAAGTAAACAAAACATCATAGTGTTTAGTGGTTTTATTTCTTCCAATTTTGACTTTATAC